ACGCAAGTTTGTGATGTTTTGTATAATATTTTGAAGGAGAATTAAATAACCACTACTTTAGTTGGAAGAGAAAATGTCTTTGAATGAATTGTGATATGATTTAATTTAAGAAGAATTTAAACCATTTGGATTGGAATAGGAAGATTCTTCAGTAAGTATACATATACTTAGGTTTCATTGTATAACAATTAAAGATAGTACCATTTGGATTAAGTAAAAATTAAATTTTTTCATTTTATACGGTTAATTCTTTAATTTTTGTGATAACACTTAAATTGAGCAAGATAAAGCAAGTTTGTGATGTTTTGTATAATATTTTGAAGGAGAATTAAATAACCACTACTTTAGTTGGAAGAGGAAATGTCTTTGAATGAATTGTAATATAATAATTTCAATGAGTATACGTATACTTAGGTTTCATTGTATAACAATTAAAGATAGTACCATTTGGATTAAGTAAATAATAAATAAAGATAGTATCACTTGAGTTTTACTTATGTGGTTGAAGTTTGGAGCGATCCTGGAGCGAAAATTAAAGGTAACCACACACTGAAATAACAGACAATCGGAGATCACGCATATATACATGTGTCCAAAAATTTCCAATGTATGTCCAATTTCAAACGAAGATCGCGGTCCGCGAAGGAAACCGAATGACTAAAGAATCCTGCGAGTCCTCTCATACTTGCGATCAAAATTTTCTTATTCGTTCCCGCGTCCTGTGGAAAATCTAAAAGAACGAGAGCAATGTCTGATATCACTGACGATAAAAAAAAATAATTCGAAGAGATAACGGTATCGGAACCCCTTCAAATAATGGCAAACGCCCGCGTGATCGCACGTACCTGCGCTCGAAAATTTCCTACGCTCGTCTCAGAATCCGGAACCAAAATGTAAAAGTTCCCGTGTAATGTCGGAGACCAGAGACGAATAAAAAAAAATAATTGATGCAGATCGTGTACCCGGAAGCCCTCCGAATAATGGCAATCGCCCGCGCGATCGCCCGTACATACGCTCGAAAATTTCCTGCCCTTGGCTACGTGTCCCCGCATGTCATTTGTTTTCTTCTTTGCAACGGTTGTTGATAGTTTGTAGAAGTCGTATATAATATTCATATATAATATTCGTATCGTATTCTGGATATTATATGTTATTGCCTAAGAAATTTGAGATTTCACGGCATCATATTAGCGTAATTGCTGATGTGATTTGTGATCTAGTGTCAGACATTTCTGATGTCAATTTTTATGAAAGAGGGGATGGATCGTTATGCCATATGGTAATTACATTTCGTTTATACATGTTCGTCATGCTTTTACTTAATATTATTATTTATTGAAATTTTTTATGAATTTAAATTCTTTACTATCTTATTATTTTTTATACAGATTTCCAAAAGACTGAAAACGAAGTTCGATAATAAGTTTCGATTATTACATGCACGTCTATGGAATGACAACGTTCATGGTTTGCAGGATTTAGTCCGTAATATGTTAAGTGAAAAAAATAAGGATATTTTTATGGTATCTCCTTCAATATCTACTGATATAGTTTCCCGTAAGTACAATTGTAAATTTAATAATCTGGTTCACATTTAAGAATGTTTTCTTTACTATGAATTGAAGGCTTTATTCGAGCTTAATAATATTTAGTTTAGAGATAAATAATAGAGATAAATAATTAGTTTAAGTATTAATATATGTTTAGAGATTACCGAATGTTTAGACTGATCTAATTTTATGTTATTACGATGTTCCTTGATTCTCGTCTGTAATTGTCTTTTAGTTTGGCTAACATAAGAGAAGCGTCACAATTATTACAATTTATTTAGTATATAACATTATTGTTTTTTTCGTGTTGATTTTTGCCTTTATGAACTTTTATAAATCTGTTGAGTTTATTGACGCATCTATAGCTTATCATATTATTAGATTTGTTAATATATCTCGAAATTTTGTTACATATCGATTTTATATAAGGAAAATCCATAAGTTGTCTTAACTCTATCTCATTAATAGAATTATTCAATGTAGATTTTTTACATGCCAAAGCTTTTATTGATGCAATCAAAAATGAAATCTATATGATATCCACTGTCTTTCAAAATCTCTATTATGAGTTCAAAGTTCTTATTAAAAAATATAGGATTAAACAACAGGATCGTTCTGTCAACCAAACTAAATATCATTCCAATTTTGTGGCATATAGGATGGTTAGAATAATATGACAAGTACTTGCCTGAAAACGTTTTCTTATGGAACCAATTCAATATAATTTTATTATCTTTGTTTATGACATAAAGATCCAGAAAATTCAACACATGGTTTTCCTCGTATTTAATTGTGAAATTAAGTCTCTTATGTTGTTCGTTAAACGCTTTTAGAATTTGAATTCTTTATCTTTAGGAGCAATCATAAAAACATCGTCAACATATCTCAAATAAGTAGACGAACGAGTAGTTGTAAAAAACTTAGAGCTTTTTCTTCTAAATCCTCCATTACCATGTCAGATATGACAGGGG